CCCCCATCTCGTCGGTGAGCGAGGGCTACGGACGAGAGGATCGAGGATGAGGAAGGAGGGATCGCTGTTGTAGTAAACGGTGTTTGATGAAATGCGGCTCTTGGAGCGAGGGAAGAGCCGTCCGTTATGTTTATGTTTTTGCCTTCGTGCTCCCTGTAAAAGATCTTTTAAAAGCATCTCTTCCTCTTCGGCGTCATAATAACTAATAATAGAGAATCGGGGACGTAGCGATTAGTTTAACGAGACGTGGTACTTAGACTTTGTACACCTATGGAACTCGAGATAGACATTTTGTCAGCTAGCGATGACTAGTGCGGAGATGATAGTTAGGTCTGTCCATTTGGCCCGTCAGCCCGGGCCCGGGTTTAGCCCGGGCTACATCGGGTTCCAAGCCCGAGTACGGGCCGTCCCGTCGGTAGTCGGCCGCGGTGCCCGGCCATAACGGTCCTGGTGGCCCGACCCGAGCATTAACCGGTCATTAAAATGACGTTAAGTCAAACAACGGTCAAATTTGACCGTTGTGGCTTCGGGTCAGCAGGTGCCATCAAATGGTCAAAATTGTGATCGTTTTGGACCGTTTTGGCCGGCCCAGCCATTTTGGCCGATTTGCCCCCAAAACGGTCAAAAATGGTAAAAAAATGAAGGTATTTTGGTTATTTGTCTAAGGGGGTTACATCTATAAATAGCATGAGTTTTCATTTATTTTCCTCATCCAAAACCCATCTACTTCTTGTAGGCATTAAAAAATGTCGAACTTCAAAATATGATGATGGTCGTCATAGGAACGAACCTCGCCGCCCAGCGAGGATCCCTATTAGAAACGAGGTTCGAAGCTCGTCATTGGAAACGAGGTTCGGAGTTCGTCATTGGATACGAAGTTCGAAGTTGGTCATTGGAAACGAGGGTCAGAGTTCGTCGTTGGATACGAGGTTCGAAGCTTATCATCAGACTTATAGCTCATTAGTGAAGATGAGGCTCGCTACGCAGTTAGACTCAGATATCTAAGACGAAGTTCGTTGGTGAATACGAAGCTCGTCACGCGAAGTCAGTGAAGACAAAATTCGTCCAAGAAGCTTGTTTACTACAAAGTTTGTTTTGTAAGACGAACCTCGCTGCATATCGAGGCTTGTCTTACTTGACGAACCCCCGTTTCGATTAAAGAGGAGACTTGTCATCCACGTGAGATCTAGCTGTAACGGCTCCGAAGACTTAGTCAGCCACGTTGGCTAATCTTCAGGAGTACGTTACAGCGTGCGCTGATTTGGAGGAGGTAGTTACTCCCCTCTACTCGTGATCTTAGCACGTTGGTTACGTGCTTAAACCCTATAAATAGCCATGGATGACTACAGATAAAAGGGTTCAGACTTTTAGACTTTTGGTTATCATCAGAGATCAGAGCTCCTACGTATAGATCTGGAATTCGAACCTCGGTTCTAGCAGTCTAACGAACGTTGAAAGCTTCAGCAATTTTGTTCTGATTGTCAACGGGAGACAATCTCGACTCAAGCATTGAGGGAAGCATCTTTTCACCACCAAGAGCCCACATTAAACAAAGAGGAGTTGAACTAATCTTCTCTTCATCTATAATCGAGAGAGAGAGTGTGAGTGATTGTAAGGGTTTCGTACCAAGTGATCGAACCTAGTTTTCTTAAAATAAGAGAATCATTCAATCTTTAATTTTTTGACCCTACAGACGATGGCGACCACAGTGGGAGAAGCCATTCTTTCTGATGAAATGGTGGTGGCGCAGTCAGATAAGATTGCAGTGGGAACTGAAGTTGAGACCCTGGTCATCGAGTTTGACGAGACCAAGTATGAGGAGTTTATCTCCTCTGGAGCATCCAGTCCCACGAAGGCACGTAAATGTCGTCGAGTCTCATATGAGACTTCAGCCCAAGTGACTTCTGATGATTCAACTCGAGTTAACCTCGAGGAAAAGTCCATGCCCCTAAAAAAGAAGGCTCTAATAACCAGCCGTCAGGCTAAGAAATAGGTTGTCAAGCAACCTGGCCAAACTTTGGCTTCTACTAGCCAAACTATGGATTTTGATAACGAACCTCGCCCAGCTTCGGCTGAGGCAAAAGTTCCTGTTGGTCCATTATCGAGACGCGCTCGACAACGTCAGCGTCATAACCAAGCTCGCCATAGGGCTCGAGCTTTGGCCTCGCTAGACGGTTTTCACTATCGAGCGAGAGTTGACCAGCCTAAGGTCAACAAGTCTGATGAGGGTCAAGTGACTGAGGAACGTCAAAAAATACGGACCTCATCCTCGCACCCAAGTAGGCTCAAAACACGAACATCATCTTCAAAAAGATGTTTAGCAAATTCAACAAGTGGTTCATACTGAGGTTCATCAAGAAAATGAACCTCAAGTTAAGAACCAACCGAGAAGGCGAATGCGTCAAGCTCATCCTATCAACGAACCTCGTCACATGAATGACGGAGTTTGTCAGCGTACCCAAGTTCGTCAACCTCTATCATTCAGAGGGTCTCGCTCGGGTAAAGCTAAAATGACAGAACCTACTATGGGTTGTTCTGCTAGTGATCTTCGAGATTATCTCACACGCAAGCGCAATATAAATCAGATGCAATCTCATTGCTGCTGTGAGAAGCTTATTTCTGTTGTATTTTCGCAATGCCCCTGTAGGGAGTCAGCACATAAATCTTCAGTCTTCAAACGGTTGATTGAGCCGTCGACGATCTCGTCATCAAGAAGAAGGCACTTTCGTCCTAAAAAGCAAGCATCCAAGAATTGCCACACTGAAGTGACGATCAACATGGTCAGCAAGGGCAAGAGCAAAGCCTCGGCTGATTCCTCTGAATCTTCTGATCTCAAATACTCTTCAGGGTTAGGTAAAATGATTGTAGAAGGACAGGGGGTGTTTCAACATACTCGTACTTGTAAGGGCGTGATGATCCCGTTTGATTATTGACGATTAGCGGGTATCGCAGATGAGGCTGAGGAAGAACCTAAAAACTTAGCCATTGCCACCTCTCAGCCTTCCAACACCGATCAAACTGAACAAGCAAGTTCTCACATGGCTGGAAGTGAGGAAGACCTAGCGCGACAGATGGAAGAGCAACAATCAACCATCCGTCAACAACAGGAGTCTATCAGACGCTTGGAAGCAATGGTAGAGAAACTCCTCGGGGAGAAAGCGAAGGAGAAAAAGAAGAAGAAAGTTCATCCCCAAGCCTCGGGATCAAGACTTAGGCGGCCTTCACATACCGAAGGAGAAAACAGTCGTCGACATCAAGAGGGCAATAATGAAGACGATGAAGAGGAAAAAGTTGTGAGTGTTCATTCTGAATCGTCTGAAGCTGAGTCCAATCCTCGTACGAAAGTACGAGACCAAAAATTGGATGATTTCCAGAAGCAACCTGACGCATTAAAGCTCTAAGAAAACTTCAAAGAACTGGGAGTGGCTAGGCTATATCCAACTGAACGGGATACGATTCCGTACCCCCCGAAGTTCAAACCACTCAATCTAGTGCAATTTGATGGCAAGAGTTCCTCTACCCAATACATTATTATTTCCAGGCGCAGACCGGGCATATAGTGGGTAATGATCCTATTATGACTTGGTTATTCATCAGCACCCTAAAGGGGGTAGCTTTTGAGTGGTTTCGCAGACTCGATCCTGGGTCAATCAAAAGTTAGAGAGATTTGAAGAAAATTTTCCTAGCTCGATTCTTTGATGATAACACTAAGGTGTCTATGGTCACGCTATTGGCTGAGAAGCAGAAGAAGACAGAGTCTGTTAGTGACTTTGTCAAGAGATTCAGAAATCGATCGTTGCATTCACGTGATTAAGTTTCTGAAGCTACTCTTGTGGAAATGTGCCTCAACAATCTTTCTATTAACACCTTGTCTAAAATGGATGTTGTTGAAACCTGTTCATGGAAAGATTTGGTTTGGCAGGGAGATCAGGTAGAGAACATGCTCAAGAGGATGAATGTTGTAGAGCCTCAAGAATCCCAGCATAAGAAGGGAGGAGGTAAAGACAACTATAACTCCCAAAAGCAATCGAAAGGGAATGATACTCTAGCTGTCGAGAGAGCCCCATCCCCAAAATCTTCTGCAAAACAAAAAGAAAGTACTTCCGACAATCATTTTTAGAAAAAATATGATTTCAAAGATGAACATGTGGTTTCCATCCTCACATCTTTGATCAAGATGAAGAAGACCAAATTGTCGGAGGTGAAGCAGACCGAAGAAATGTTAAGGACCGACGATCCTAACTTTTGCATGTACCATAGGATGGTGCATCATCCAACCAAGGCCTATTATATCTTGAAGGATAAAATACAGGCTTTGTTAGATGCATGTGTGATGACCCTTCAAGCTGAGCAAAAGAAGGTATCTGTAAATATGGTCTCGCTACAGTTCAGAGACTTTGTCGAGGTGCAAGTCTAAGATGACGTGAAACTAATTCCCCAAGAAGAGACGAGAGTCGTAAACCTTGACCCTCATCAGAGAAAAAAGAAGGGAATGGTCCCCTGCACCACTTCTGAAGGTGAAGTTATGTGGGTTCATCCTGACTTACTAGTGGACGAGTAGTGGACATCGACGAACTCAAAGAAGCCTAAAGTCAAGCGAATGTCTTGCAACGCTATTTCAGTCATCCCAGACGAGGGAGTTGAAACTGCGTCACTTAGTAGTTCTGAAGATGAGCAGCCATATTTCACCATACAACCTGCGCAGATATCAGGAACATACGGAGGAAAGGAGTATTTAAGGAAATACTCTGAAACAGCTGTTATACCACCTAAACCAAGGAAAGAGATGACGGAGCAAACACAAGTGAAGGAACTTTGTTACAGCAAAGTACTCAGGAAAGATGCACCAGAGAGCGCGAAATATCCTTTTCGGTTTGATGTGTTGGCTCAATTAGCCAACATCCCAGCAAGGATTACCTTGTTTGAGCTTTTGCGTTTATCCCGATCAACAAGGGAAGCTCTTCATGAAGCATTGGTGGATAATGAAGCTTTTCTCACCAACTTCCCACCAAACCCAGCCGGAGCAGCGCTAGAAGAAGATTGTCCTCAGTGTTGTCAAGTTTTTCAAGGAAGGACATCGTGCATCACCTTTTCTCAAGAAGATATGCACGTGAGAAACACGAAACACGATAGACTGTTGTACTTTACAAGGTCTATTGGTTCTATTCGGGTAGATAAAATTCAGGTTGACCCCGATTTTGCTTTGAGCATCATACCGTTGAGGCTCATTCATCACCTTGGAGTTCCTCTACATTGTTTATCAACAACGGGGACCACCATTTATGGCTTTAATGCCTCCAACACTCGTCTCTTAGGCAAAATCAAACTCAAATGCCAAATGGGTGACTTGAGGGCAGATATCACCTGCTACGTCATCGATGCAGAGACGTCTTACAATTTTTTATTGGGTCGACCATGGATTCATAGCAATCTGATTGTTCCATCGACTCTGCATCAATGCATGAAATATATAGATGAGAGTGGTGAAGTCAAAACAGTGGTCGCAGAAAAACAACCATTCAAAGGGGTAGAGAATTATTTCACAGATTCAATTCACTACCTTAATGGTGAGCCATTTGAAGTACCACTGGTTCAAGAACCAGATAGCGGTAATGAAGCTGATATCGAGTCTGAGTACGAACATGGTCTTGTTTTTAATGACATAGAACCCGTCGTAAATTGTCTTAAAAATCTGGATGTAAATGATTCTGTCTACGAGGACAGCGAAGTTATCTATAATAATAATAATGATTTAGCTTACTTATCGTGTGTTGAATTAAATTCTGACATGCCAGGTACAAACACCAGCATATTGGCAGATCCTCTACCCCGATTATATGCTAAATCAAATTTATACATGCCGATTCAATCATCTTTTGTGACAAATCAACAACGAATCGAATTTTCGCAAGCAGTCTTCGTAGTGCCGGCTAAGGTTAATGGCAAAAAAGACATCATCTTTGGGAAGAGTGACGGCCCGTCGCAAACTCTTTTGGAAGAATCCGAGAAGGAGGAAAAAGACCCGCAATTCTCATATTTCACACCAACAACCCGAAAGCTTATGAAGAAAATAGGATATGACTTCATCCATAAAGAAGGTTTAAATTTCAGTAAAGGGATCCGGACACCAATTCGATCCGCTTATATCCTAGAAGGAAAGTCAGAGGATTACTATCACAAAACTCATAGTGGGTTAGGTTATGAATCCCTGCCGTTCACGCTGTGTTTTGGAGCCAATGGAGAGCCAGATGATGATTCTTACAGCTTATCTTCTGAATCTAATTGCTGGGAGTCTGACACCAGTATATGAGTTGTGTTCAAGGCACTCATGGCCAACATAACCTCAGCATCTCCAATAGAAAATCGAGAAGATGATTAATTACCTCTGCTTAATGATCCACTAACCCGATAGCTCGGTATACAGTGGGAACACCACTTCGAACAACACGAACCTCCTACTGATGACAAAGTGATCTAAGTGAACATGGGAGACGAGATTAACCCGAAACCCATATTCATAAGTGACAGCTTATCACCTGAAGAAAGAGAAGAACTCATTACTTTAGTGTGGGAGTATATTGATGTTTTTGCTTGGAACTATAAGGATATGCCTGATCTCGATCCTCAAGTGGCTATGCATCGCTTAAATATCAAACCAGACATCAAGCCTGTTAAACAACAACAAAGGTGATTTTGGCCCTAAATTATGAAGGCGATTGAAGCTGAAGTCAAGAAGCTCATTGAGTCGAGACCCTGACTGTGTGGCCAACATTATCTCTGTTCTGAAAAAGAACGGGAAGATTAGAGTGTGCATTGACTTCCGAGACTTGAACTCGGCTTGTCCTAAAGACGATTTTCCTTTACCCATCATGAACATCATTATTGACAATACGTGCAAGTTTAAAAGGATGTCTATTATGGATGGATTCTCAGGGTATAACCAAATCAAGATGTATCCTGATGACGAAAAGCATACATCTTTTCGAACACCTTCAGGGATATGCTGTTATACAGTAATGCCCTTTGGATTGAAAAATGCTGGTGCTGCATATCAACATGTAATGACCTCTATTTTCCAAAAACATCTACAAAAGACTGTAGAATGTTATGTGGATGACCTGGTTGTTAAAAGGCACGACAAGGGGAACCATTTACATGACTTGAAAATAATGTTCGACCTCATGCAGGCACATCAATTGAAGATGAACCCAACCAAGTCGTTTTTAGGAATGGCTAGCGGTAAATTCCTCGGGTTTGTAGTCACCGCTAACATAATTCACATTGACCCAGATAAAGTCAAAGCCATTCGAGAGCTGCCACCCCCTAGAAATCTCAAGGAGCTTCGGGGTATACAAGGATGATTGGCATACATCCGCAGGTTTATTTCCAACCTATCAAGCAAATGCCAACCATTCTCAAGATTAATGAAGAAGGGGGTATCCTTTGTATGGGATGAAGCTTGTCAGAAAGCATTTGAAGAGATTAAGCAATATCTTTCCAATCCACCTGTGTTGGTTGCACCGAAGTTAGGTAAACCCTTCTTGATATATATCTGAGCTACAGATCATGCCTTGGCAGGACTCTTAGCGTAAGATGATGAAAATGGCCACGAGCAAGCCATTTATTATCTCAGTAGGACTTTATCGGGTGCTGAACCTCGTTATCCTCCTATTGAGAAAGAATGTTTGGCCATGATCTTCACAGTCCAAAATATGCGACATTATTTGGTTGGACAAACTATACATGTCATTTCCCAGATCAATCCTATTCGGGTATTCATGACACAACCCAGTGCATTGAACTGGCGACTCACTAGATGGGCATTGTTGCTATCCTAATATGATATTCACTTCTAACCTCAAAAGGTAGTGAAAGGTCAGCCTATTTGTGATCTTATGACCAACCATCCAATGAAAGGGAATGTTGAATTATACCAGGACATGCCGGATGAGACGTATGAAGCCAATGTTGTTTCTAAAGAGCAGATATGACAACTATACTTTGATGGCGCAGTAAGAGCAAGCCCTACTGGTCAAGTTATTGCTAGAGTGGGGGTGTTGATAATCATATTTTATTACAATTTTATACCCCCATTATGAATAAATATACCATTAATAATTGTTGTTAGCTTAGTTTGCACATAAATGAATGAGAATATAAATAAATATTATTAAATATAAAAACCCCTTAAAAATCTCTCTTCTCTATTTTGTAGCATCTTAGAAGCCCATGAAGCAAAAGCTTAAAAGAGGAAAATGATTGAAGCCCAAAGAGCAAAGCCCATAAAAAAATACACCAAGGAAGCTATACTTGGACTTGGATGCAAAGAATGAGAATAAAATGGACTTGGTTGCAAAAAGTTCTCCATGACCGGACCTCTTTTGCTGCAAAAAAAAATTCCAATTCATTGAAGCATGAATGGGCCGGATTTGTGTTATCATTGTGTGGGCCGTGTGCAGTTAAATGAAAGGGACCAAATTAATACAATGACCTGCTACCAGATTTGTTTAAAAAAAAAATCAAATGAATACTTCATTAGTTGCTGCAAGTGGGCCGGACATGATGAAGCATTTGGGTTGTGAATGGGCCGGATTTGTGTTATCATTGTGTGGGCCGTGTGCAGTTAAATGAAAGGGACCAAATTAATACAATGACCTGCTACCAGATTTGTTTAAAAAAAAAATCAAATGAATACTTCATTAGTTGCTGCAAGTGGGCCGGACATGATGAAGCATTTGGGTTGGATTCTTTGCTGCAGATTTGCATAGGTTGCTTCATTGGACTCAAGTGGGCCGGATTATGATTTTCTTTTGAAAATAAAAAATGAATCATTGTTGGGCTTGCTGCAGAGTGGATTTAATGTAATGAAGACCGGACTTGAGCTTGGAATTTGCAAGAAAATTATTGTTGAAAATCAAATGAAGATTGGGCCTTGGAAAATCAAATAAAGATTGAGCTAGAGAAGAACAAAAAGCAAATTCAAAGGTGGAGATTGTTTCTTGGGGCTCAAGACAAATCCAATGGCTCATATTCATTGAAGATTACTATAAATAGAGGTAGAGAGTGAGGGGTTAAGGGTGTGAAAATTTTGTAAACTCCTTTTGGAGAGGAGGGCTACTC